AAAAAGAATTGGTCAGGGTTCTGATGTTTTTCACTATGATCCTAGAACAACTACTGTCTGACATTTTAATCTCTACCTTTGATAAAAATTAAAATTATTTTGAAGTTTTACACACATATACCTACCTACCTACATAGACACACATACTACCTAGCTATCTACATATATACATACACATACCTACACACATAATACACACAAGCCCCTACATAAATACATAAGTACATACCATAGGGGTAAAGAAATCTTTTCTTACCCATGGCTGAGACCCCTATAACAAAAGTTAAATTAACAAGAGAAAAAGCACACAAATTTATTTAATGTGAGTTTTGCATGATATGGGAGCCTACAGAAATGAAGACCCAAATAAACAGGGGAACCGGTATATTTTATGCCAAGTTTGGTGAAAAAGTGGATAGTTATGGAGAAGGAGGATTGGACAAAGGGGTCATGATCAAATAGCAATATACTGGGGAAAACAGCCAAGCCTGTTTGTTCAGATTCTCCTGTGTCTCTGTGTCTCCAGAGATAAGGGCATTCCCTTCCTCTGGGTGCAGGGTGGTCTTGCTTCAGGGGAAAGTCAGAGAATTTTTCCTAAGTTTTCCAGCCCACTTCGGGGAAGATGCATAGAAGGTCAGAGGACCTTCCCACTTCTGCTGTTATCTCAAGTGCCAAGGTGCCATATTTGGGGGTAGTGTGTCCCAAGCCCCATCAGTACACACACGCACACACATACACGCACACACGCACACGCATGCACACAGCTGTGTTAAAGTGCTGCAACTCATGTTGAATGTGTGAAGGACCAAGGACAGGTCCTGTGAAAATCAAAGGGGCGAGTTTCAGGAGAAGTGGGCAATGAAGTACACAGGTCCTCAGAGGTGCTAAACTTATCCTGGTTCAAACTGAACTCAAGCTGAATCTGTTTGCCTGGAATATGCCCGGGGAGCACTAAGGAGGTTTTGAACTCTCTCTGGCTTCAGCATCTCTTCAGCAGTCTACAAGGGCCACCTCAGTTCTCACTGTTGTCATTTCTGAATGTTTCCCTCTTAACATGGGAAGATTTTAGTCCGTGATATCCACATTCTTTTGTAATACAGCACATCAGTCTCACCCACGTGGAGTATGTAAAATTTGATAATGAGTTACAATAAATCTACTTTCTGTGAGGATTTGGGGTATACTAGTTAACATGCCTGAAACAGTGCGATGCCACTCAGTTTCAGGCCAGTTCTCTCTCAAATCCACATCATCCCTCACTCTGCTCAATGCCACCTGAGCTAGAACTGCCCAAGAGCACAGCCCGAAGTAGAAATGGCTCAGGCAGAACCAGAACCTCGGGAACAAGTTCCTGGTCCCTGCTCTAGGTCTCAGGCTGCTGGAAAGTCTTAGGACTTCTTAGCCCCTGGGCTGAGGAATACAAACCTGGAAACTATGTTCAGGAACTGGCATGACCCCAAATCAGAGCCGAGTGATTTCCTGGTTCTCTGGATGCAGCAGCAGCCCCCCCCCCCCCCGCAGCTCCCAGGGAGAGGTGCAGTGCAGGGCAGGAAACCTAGAACCTTCCCTGGGCTTGGCTGGAGGCCAGTCCTGGGCTCTCCTGACCCTTCCTCCTCTCAGTGCACTCCCTGTTTCTCAGCCTCTGCTCTCTCCATTGCTCTGGCTGGATCTTTTTCCCCCTTAATGATGGCTTGTCTTTGTTGGAATGTTCATGCTGCCAACTACACATCCCAGGAGTGTGGCTGATGGGGTGGAGGATGGCAGGTCAGCGGTCAGCTGTGGGGAAACTCCTATAGGAGCTGGTCAGGTTGGGGACGGGGGAGTGAAGAAAAGCAAAACTTGGAAGGTGCAGCGGAACCAGCAAGGCAGGCTTTCCTCTGAGGAGAGTCACCAGCCCCACCTGCAGCTCTGTGCACCATAAGGCAGAGAAACTGTGAGTCAGTGTTTTCTTTTGGGTTTTTTTGTTTGTTTGTTTTAAAGAAACAAACAAATAACTCTTATATTTTCACAAGGAGAAAGCTGGGACTTAGGTCTGGGCATCTCTGCACCTCCTCCCCATAACACAGAGCATGTGGGTTTTCATCAACATCTATTGTCAAGAACGAAAAAATGGATCGGTTCTTGAGGCTCCTGCCAGGCTAAGAGATTGCAGAGTCTCCTCCATGGTGAAAAGAGGTGGGAAGAGGAATGATCCAACAACTGGATGCAGTGGAGAAACAGCCCCAGATTGACAGGAGGCCTCCAGGCTTGCAAACTCACTTGCTATGATCTGCCTATTGTGTCTTCCCAAAATTCACGTGTTGAAATCCTAATCCCCAAGATGATGGTATTAGGAAGTGGGGCCTTTGGGAGGTGATTAAGCATGAGTGTGGAGCCCTCGTGAATGGGATTAATGTCCTTATAAAAGAGACCCCAGAGAAACTCCTCACTCCTTCCACCACATGAGGTCACAGGAGAAGGCAGCCGTCTACGAACCTGGAAGCCTCACCAGAGCCTGATCATGCTGGCTCTGTGATCTTAGACTTCCAGCCTCTGGAACTGTGGGAAATAAACATTTGTTGTTTATAAGCCACTCAGCTTATGGTATTCTGTTATAGCAGCCCCAAAGGACAAAGACACCGCCATGGCGAAGTGCAGGCCAACATTCACATGACAAGAAGCACAAAGGCTTTGGAGCCACAGGCTGCAACCTGGCTATGCCACATGCAGAAGCTACTTAACTTCTCTAATCCTGTGTCTTCTTCTCTAAAGTGTTTTGCATTTTCTTTTTTTTTTTTAATTTTACTCCTCAATATACATTGTAGTTGATTTTCATTCCCCTTTACCCGTTACTCTCCACCCCCTCCCCCCACACACACACATCATAGCTGTTCACTTGACTTATATAGTTCAAGGAATTTTTGTGGTTATTCTGTCTTCTTTCCCCCCTGCTTGATTTGTTTGTGCGTTTATTTATATATTTTTAGCTCCCACAAATAAGTGAGAACATGTGGTATTTCTCTTTCTGTGCCTGACTTGTTTCACTTAATATAATTTTCTCTAATGGTAGTATTTTGTTCTTTTTTATAGCAGAGTAGTATTCCATTGTGTAGATATAACACAATTTCCTTATCCACTCACCTGATGATGGACATTTGGGCTGGTTCCAACTCTTGGCTTTTGTAAATAGTGCTGCAATGAACATTGGAGTACAGGTATCCTTTCGACAGGATGATTTCCATTCCTCTGGGTATATTCCCAACAGTGGGATAGCTGGGTCATATGGTAGATCTATCTGTAATTGTTTGAGGAACCGCCATACCATTTTCCACAAAGGCTGCACCATATTTCAGCCCCACCAACAGTGTGCGAGAGTTCCATTTTCTCCACAACCTCGCCAGCACTTATTCTCAGTCTTTTGGATGTCAGCCATCCTAACTAGAGTGAGATGGTATCTCAAAGTGGTTTTGATTTGCATTTCCCAGATGCTAAGTGAGGTTGAGCATTTTTTCATGTGTGTGTTGGCCATTCATATATCTTCCTTTGAGAAATGCCTATTCAGCTCCTTTGCCCATCTTTTAATTGTGTTATCTGTTTGTTGCTGTTTTGTATTTCTTAATGGAATACTCAGCAACAAGCCCAAGCGCAGAGCCATCAGTCCATTCCCTTTCCATCTACACATTCCCTCCTGGTGTGAAAGCTCTTGAACATCTTCTGTGTTGGGAAATCTCCTTTGTCCTGTGCAGATTCATTTTATTTTTATAAACAAAATCACTTGGGAACCAAAGTGCTAATAAATTAGGTAGATTCCAGTCTTGGCTTTGACAGTGACAAACTGTGTGGCCTTGGACAAACCACTTCTATTCTCTGAGCCTCAGTTTCCTCATCTTTGAAATGGAGGTGCTGAGCTCCATCACTCTGAAGTCCCCTTCCTTCTGAAATTGCCAATTTATGTCTCTTATTGGAGAAGGTTATTGGGGGGCAACCATCCACCTATCAGTGCACAAAAGTTAGATAAACTAGTCTTGGGGTTGTCTTGAGATGAGAACCACCCAGCATACACCCCCTCACAGACATCTCAAGTAATGGGCCAACATCTAATGAAACCAGGCATGGACTTTCAAGGTGACTTTGAGAGGCAGTGTGTCTGTGTTTTCGGTACAGGTAGGTTCGTTCATAATCAGAACTAGAACTTGACAGTAACAGCTCAAATATAGTGTTGTCCCATCTTATCCGAACAGATCAAGGGACTTGCCCAGCTTGCACAGCTGGTTAGGAGCAGAGCCATTGATGACAGGAAGTCTGAGCACCCTACCCCACCCCAGTTCCATCAACCCTTTGATCCCCTTTCAAGCAATTAAGGAGGTTTCTGTGGCATCATCATAAACAGCTGAGTGTCTCAAATCAAGGATGCTCTGAGGCATGCTGGGAGTTATGCCAGTTGGGGGGAGGGGTGGATAATTAAGGAAATCATGGTGAATTAAGCTTTCTGCAATGAGGCACAAACATCTTTTCACGAACAGCAACATCATGTTAGCTTATGTCTTGCCAAAGAGAAAGGCAGGGCCGATCCTCAGGGTTTGCAGCCTGGTAAAACACATCTGGCTACTGAGCCAAATATTTAAGGGTCATTAAAATCCCAAACTCCCTTTGCCAAGAACTTTTCTCCTTTGTTATTCAAGTGTGGAGCAGTTATGGAAAATGTGTTCCATATGGTTTGTGCTGCGTTCCTATTTACTTCATCAAATCACTGCTTTGAAAGAGCTATTTGATGTCAAAGACGCGTTAAGATTTTATAGACTTTTCCAATGCAGCTTTTAAAGATTCTCCCTTTGAACCTGAAACACTTGCCAAGAGTAAACAGAACTGAAACCATGAGGGGTCAAGGGCTTTGTTAGAAACTAAGCCCTCGCCTGATCAAGGGCTTTCAAAGGTTTGGGGCAAACACGCATTTCCAACTACTTGCCAAAAAGCTCCACAGAAGATCACATTTCCCACATAAGAAACATTAAAATAAATGCTTTAATATATTCATATTTTATTAATAATGTAACACCCTCCCCCACTACCTCCCAATAAGAAGCTGGGACACAAGATAGTCATGTGCTTAAAATATTAGCAAAACTTTAGAAAGTTGGGTAATTTATCATTAAGCCATAAATCAAAATTCTTTCCAGTGAGGGTTTCTTAGCCTTGAGAGAAAAAGCAAACCTTGGAAAGCTCTCAGGGCCAGAATCAACAGACCCTCCAAGATCCCCAGAGCTAGGAGAATATTTGAGCGTAGCTCTCATTTTACAGATGGGGAAACCAAGAACTAGATCCCAGGGCCCGCCAACGAAAAGACCAGAAGCTACCAAATCGGTCCCTTGTTTGTCCTCTCCACGGCCTCCACCTTCCCCTGCTGATCATCGGCTCTTCCGTGCACCTCTACAGTAGTCTCCTCCCAAACTCTCTTCACTTCATCGTATTCCTTCCCCACAGAGCAAGAGGATGAGTTCTGTAAAACTGGAATCAGGCATGTCACTTTTCTGCTCAAACCCTTCAGCAGCCCCTTGTTGTCCAACCTTCCCCCATACCCGCTCACCCAGCACAACTGCCCATGCTAACCTACCTGCTGACCTAACGACCCCCTGCTCACTCAGCGCCACCCACTCTGCTGCTTTCTAGCCCCCTGAGTCCACAAAGCTTGTTTCTGCCCCAGGACCTTTGCACTTGTAGTCCCTTCTGTCAGGGCTGCTCTTGCCTTCAGCTCTCGGCTTAAGCCATGCCTCTTCAAAAACTCTTTCCTGGATATTCAGTGTAAAGAGCCCCCACAACTGGCTCTTGTCTCCACATTTATTGTCTGAATTCTCCACACCCAGGCTGGGTGGGACTATGCATTATTTTCTGCGGTAACCCAATACCCAGCACAGTGTCTGGGGTATAACAGGCACTCAGCACACATATTTTAATAAGGTTCCTATCTCCCAGCCCTGAGCTTCTTCCAGTAATGGGGAAAGACCAGGAAAAAAAAAAAGTCAGTGCTTATGTTTAGAATCCAACTCTGTCCTCTCTTTCTCTTCCTCTCTCCCTATTTTGGCCTTCTTCTTTCCCATTCAGGGGACCTCCTTGACTTCTTAGAACTGCCTTGACTCACTCCCCTCTGTTCTCAGGTTCCCCAGTTACTCTGAGATTTCAGGGTCTCCCAACAGTTCAGAATGCAAACCCCTCAGAAGAAGTCTGAAAATTTAACTGGGATCAGAAAATCTCAACTTAAAAATATTGGTAACTTTTAATTGTGGGAATCGATGGGGGAGCTGCCCAGGGAAGGGGCCTGCAGACTGGATCTTTCCTCTGAGACCCCCAACCCCTCCTTCCCCATGCCTCACCGAGGAGGACTCAAGTTGATAAGACTGGTCTGACGGCAAATGCACAATCACTCACCATGGCTTTAAGGCTTTAAGTGGCTTCTTCATTTCCTCGTAGCTTCCTTGAAGTTTACATAAATATTTTCCATTTGTACTTTTGTGTTGAGAAAATAAAGCTGGCTTGAGATCCAGTGTGTGTGAGCTGCAGTGAATGCGCAGCAAACCTCTCTCTCTGCCGGGGAGTCCTAATGTAGGCAGGTGAGTATCTTGGGCACAAAGCTTCTAAAGAGAAACAAAAATTTACAGATGGGCCATTTATTTCTTTAGACATTCCACATACATTTTTGAGAACCCAATGTGTTCCAGATTTTTTACTGGGACTCCGTGGTGAACAAGCCCAGCCTGGCTCCCAAGGAGAAGGCAGACGGCAGGCATGTTATAACCCAAGCATGGACTCACAGGTTAGCATCTGTCTGGCGAAGATCATGGGAGAGCATATAACAGGGGATCCTGTTTTAAGCTGGTGAACTGGAAAAGGCTTCTCTAGGGAAGTAGCATTTGAGGAGAGGTCTGTGTCTGGGAGACAAGCTGGGGTAGCTAAGTGAGCACTGGCCAAGTAGCCCGGAGGATTCAGCCTCCAAGCCAGTTCGGCAGCATCTCCCTGTGTGATTCCGTGCACACCCCTCTTTCCTCTCTGCTGTACCCTGTCAATTTTCCAAATCCTTCTAGCTGCTCCTATCTTCCCTCCACTCCCATCACCATTGCTCCAATTTGGTTTTCTTTTTTTTTTTTTTTTTTTTTTTTTTTTTTTTT